CCCATACTTCCTTACCAATAAAACATGTTCTAAGAGGTCTTAGAACAAACATTACCTCCCCTGCAAAAAACAAGCTTCATGAAAGATCATTTTTGTCTTCAAAAGTTTCAATTACTTGACAGCCTCGGCAACAACTATGAAATTCCACTTCCTGTGTTGATTGAAATGAAATTATTCTCGTTTATCCACAAATAAATACAATTGCACAACTGAGAAAAAATATATACCTAAATCAAGCACATATAATAACAATAAATGAATATTTAGTTTGTAAAAAAAGCATTGTTACCTAAATGGGATTGAATGAATAAATGTTTTTTGGGATGGAGATCGAGCAACTGAACCAGATACCTAAAACAATAGATGAGATGCAGAGTGTATGCGGCGTCAAGAAGCGACGAAGTGGTGCGTTGTCTAGGAGCGGCGGAGCCGTGATTCGTCTAGGAGCGGCGGCTCATCTAGGTGCGGTGGAGAGGCGACTCGTCTAGGAGCGGGAGCAGCGGAGCGGAGATTCGTCTAGGAGTGGTAGAACGGCGGAGCGGAGATTCGTCTAGGAGTGACGAAGCGGCGGAGAGGTGCGTCATCTGGAGCCGCGGAGCGGCTGAGTGGTGCAGAGGTGCGTCGTTGAGGCAGAGCTGCTGACCTTCTCGCCTCCCTTTTCATTTTGTCGTCAAGTGCGAAGGTTAGAAGGTATAAATTTTAAAACTTTACATACCATTCGATAAGGGTTAATAACTGAACGGACATGGAAAACAATTTTTATAATTTAAAAAATGATCCCCGCACCAAACTGAATTTTATAAAAAATTGTGAATATGACCCCGTTTCTCCATTCTATAACGGATTAAATAGTAACCGTTATGAATAAACTTTGACATTTTATAATTTTAACCCGTCAACAAAGCGAATCCTTTTATTATTTATAAATTTGACCCCGTGTCAACATACCATAACAGTCAAAAATTAACCCATATTAAATGACTGTTATAGAATCTATATTTTGCACTAGTGGAAAGTTACGTTGTAATACCGTGATTATGTTTCACACCGTCTGATGTTCAGTTTCCATTTAGATTTCAAAGGAGACAATTTCCAATTATGATTTCTTACGCAATGACCATCAATAAAAGTCAAGATCAGTCGCTCACTCATGTTGATCTTACTGAGAAAAACAGTTTTCAGGCATGGAAATGCAGTTATATTTTGTTGTGTCAAGAGTTACCAATCGTGCAGGTCTAAAAACCCCCATTCAAAATAAAGATGATTGTCTAAAGGATGAAGCAATGAATGATGTCTACCAAAAAAGTGCTCCATAATCTGTAATGTTTCACATTGCAACATAATCACATTACACATTACAAAAAACTTTTGTATTACACTTTTAGGTCATAATTGTCTAATGTATGATATTAATTTTATAACCAATTGAATTTTCATGTCTAACGGTGTTTATACCCCATCCAAAAACTCACACACCGTGCATCGCACAGGAGGAATACTAGAAACCCGTATGAACTTGAGAGATAGGGCCATTCTTGCTAGCTCCAACTCTTGAAGTTGTTGATTCTGTGAATGACTATATGATAAGTTTGAATTCCAAAGAAGTTGTCAGAACATATCTTAGTTTAGACAGTGTTTGCAAATCGGATTTAACTCATGATCTAATAGCAGAGTTGCAAACTCCAGAATTCTTGAACAATATTAAACTCTCTGGAGTGCCAAACCACAAGTTAATTTTGAAGATTTGTTCTCCGATCCAGTCATGCTTCTACGTAATATTGATCACTCATTGGGTCTGTGTAACGGGACAAGGCTCACAATAACAAGGATGTGTGATCACATCTTAGAGGAGAGGATTCTTAATGGAACGAGCACAAGACAGAAAGTTTTAATACCGGGACTATCCTTGACCCCATCGGATGCTAGGCTGCCATTTAGGTTTCAAAGGAGACAATTCCCGATTATGGTTTCTTATGCAATAACCATCAATAAAAGTCAAGGTCAATCGCTCAGTCATGTTGGTCTGCTATTGAAAAAACCAGTTTTCAGTCATGGACAACCATATATTGTTGTGTCAAGAGTAACCAATCGTGCTGGTCTTAATATTATCATTCTTAATGAAGATGGTTGCGCAAAGAATGAGACGGTGAACGTTGTCTACAAAGAAGTGTTCCATAATTTGTAATGATTTAGAATGTATGATTATCACGTTACACATTGCAACAATCTCACACTTTTACACTTTTGCTAACGAATGGTGCAATGGATGATGTTTAATTTTATAACCAATTAAATTTTACGTTTGGTGATGTTATAAACCACCCCAAACTCATGCACCGTGCAACGCACGGGTACAATACTAGTTAAGTTAAGTATCAAAAGTCCAAAAATATGACTCATCCGTTATACACCAAACCGTTGCAGACAAGGTGCAAGAGCATTTATCCGTTGCACACCAGTCCGTTATTGCACCGGGTATAACTAAAAACTTAAAAAGCCATTAATGAGTTTTAATATTAAAAATAGGAAAGAGTTTCTCCACTGCCAGAGCCGGAGACCACTACAGTCGCACCGCCGCCACCACCAGTCACTATCTCAGTGACTCCGGTCAAAGTAACTCTGGCCGCCACACTGACTCCGACTGCTACAGTGACTAAGGTCATAGTGACTCCCGTCAAAGTAATCTCGGCCAGTGACTGCTGCTACCTTGAGCCCAGTGACTGCCTCCGCCTCCTGCCAATGACTGCCGCTGCCTTCCGGACAGTGAATGCCACTGCCGCTCCCAGCCAGTGACTGTCGTCGCACCCTCGGCCAATGACTGATGTCACTGCCCGCCCTGTGAATGACTGCACCGCCCGCCACTACCATTGAACCACTTCCGCCCCAATCACTCCGACCAGCCACCGCACCTCAACCCAAGCCCCAACCGTGCTCAATTGGTGCCTAAGAATCTGACCCCGCCTCCAACCCCTATAACTGAACCACCTCCACCCCCCGACGTCCGGCCGGCCACCGCACCCTAGTCCAAGTCTCACCACACCTCAGCCTTGCACAATAACTACACAAGACCCTACCCCTGCCTCCCACCCCCGCTGCGACCACTCAGGCCGGCCACCGCACCCCAGCCCCCCATCACACACCCCTGCGCAACACAAGACTCACAACCCGTCTCCCTCCCCTGCCACTGAACCACCTATGCCCCCTTTGCCTAGGAAAATCTAGCCACCCCATCACCTCCGTCGACCAGATCTGAAAACCAAGCACCTACGCTCTAGCCGCCAGCAAGTTCACCACAGATCTGGAAACCCTAGTCTTTCTACCATGCTAATGTCAGTCCATCTATGTCATTGCTTCATCAATCGAACAGGGATTAAAGAAGAAGAAGAAGAAGAAGAAGAGAACCAGAGCGACAAAGGCGGCCAAGTTGAATGACGGCGAAGACGGCGTCGTGCGATGGCGACAGAGGCCGACGCCAGAAGGTGGAGTCGGCGACCTGGGGTGATGACGGTGCGATGCCAGCAGAGTCGGCCGCCAGAAGGTGGAGCCGACGACCTGGGCAATGGGGTTGCGTTAGTTGTGAGAGAGGGGAAATGTCGAGAGGGGGGGGGGGGGATGTCGAGAGAGGAGATGGTGAGATAAAGTTTTGTCATATTTTTAGAAAATGGAGAAAAAGTGATATTTATGGAATTCAAAAGTTCAATAGTTATACGGACGCCGTTTTTTCTTTTTCTTTTTAAAGAGATTTTAAAGGGAAAATGATTTTGCAAATTCAAATAAAGCAGTACGGAAGTAGTAAAAAAACATTTACGAGAAATGAATTTAAAATTATATTTTTAGAATAGACGAGTTATAAATTTTAACTTTTTTAGGCTTTAATTTCAAAATATAGTTTTCAATTACTTATTGCATATTTTAATAAAAAAATCATCTCTCCCAAATATCTTCCCCACCTTGAATTGATACAGTCATTAATGAAGTGAAAATATATGATTGTGATTGAGGTAGAAAGAGTGTTAACCACACAAACCATTTCTTAAAAGGAAATGGAAAAAAGTAGGGGCGGGCAAAAATACCGAACCGGCATGGTACCGAACCGAACCGATATGGTACCGGACCGAAAAATGGGGTTTGAAACGGATCTCAATTTTTTGGTCCCGAACCGAACTGTACCGATTCTAAACAATGCCATGACCGGTTCTCATAAAATGAGAACCGGTACGGGACCGAACCAGACCGAAGTATGATTCAATGATTTAAATTTACATTTATACCCTTACTTTGACTATTGTCTTCACACTTTCACCGTCTTTGCTAATTCATAGGAAGCCTGGAATCGTACCGATGTATGGTTTAATTATTTATATTTGTACTACTATAATTTATCTGAAATTTATTAATTATGTAAAATACTACATTCATCCCTAATTGATTTGCAAAATTAACTTTTCTTGGTCAAACAGTTTCATTTTATTCACTTAACTAGAATGTCACTTTTTAATTATATTTAATTTTGAGCTTGCAACCTTGAAGAGATTTCAATGTAGTTTCTGAATATGTTTATTTTAATTATTAAAAAATAAATCAATTATCAATAAAGAGAATTTAACTTTAACATGGTTGACAAAAAAATTATTGACTTTGCATGTCAATTTAGGATAAAATGAGTATGAAAATTGATAAATTGTGTCGATTTTTGGAGGATGAATAAACTTTAATTTCCTCTTAAGCACTTGAAAAAAGTGGCATTGTTTGGTATTGGTATGACATGATACCGTCCCGTTTCAAGATGAAACCGTACCAAACGGGTTTAGGTCTAAGACCGAACCAACCGAACCGTTTGAATAGTAACGGTACGGGTACGGGTTCGGCCAAATATTGGACCGGACCGGACCGCGCCCACCCCTAGAAAAAAGATTGCAACATGGTTTTCATCCAAAAAAAAAAGATTGCAACATGGTTAAAAAATAAGTGGAAAGATCAGAACATTATGAAAGGAAGGGTAATTTTAAGATGTAATTTATTATAAAATCACCCTGTATTATGCTCTTACCATTCCCTAATCTCTATCGAGTGTCGTATTAGGTTGTTCATGTACTTAAGGAGAACGTAAAGTCAATACAGAGAATGTACATGGTAGGATATACGTTTAAATGAACTCCTTATACACAAACCGAGCACTCCTTATACACATTTAACAACCTGGAAGAACAAACTTCCAGTTCAGCCAAACAAGAGCTTGCTGGAGCACCTCAAAATCTGTCGACCCACTCAAAGGAAGCCCCGCTGCAGCTACCATGCCCCACAGTGATCCCTCAGAAGAAATCCAGCCGCTGATTTGCCTGTTGACGAAAAATAGCATAGTTGAGTTTAATATGTGGGAGAAGAGGTCTATTCCACCAGAATTCTTGGTCTGCTTACACTAAAAAGAGTGGGAGTAGCCCTACTGCTTTCCACTGTTTGTTTCCTTTAAGACTCTGATTTGCAGAGCTCCAAGTAAGAATAAACTTACGGATCCCATTGACAATCGACTCAGTGCTAAGAACTACATAATTCAAAATTACATCCCAGTATGGTTTCCAGACATGCCAAGTAATAACACTTGGAATAATAGCCTTATAAACACCATCCATGCTTTTACTTGATGCACCTAACCTCCATTTCATGTTTTGTTGTTTAATACTGACTGCTGGTCTCTCTCCCTCTAATAGGAGACGTGAGAAATGCTTCCAGATTGAATCCTGGGATGTAGAAGCGTTCTTGCAGAACGGACACATTGACGGGAAAGAAGCTGAAAATGAAGCCAACTGCTCTGGGAAAGGAAGACAATTATTTCATAATTTTCACATGAAAATCTTTATATTTGGCGCCTGCTTTGAGTGCCAAACATTTGCAGTAGACAGAATATTTTCCCTCAATGGATACAAAGCTAAATAAGCTTATTTGGATGTAAAAAAAACCTTGTTCAGTGTTTCCAAATGATAATGTTGGGACTCCGGTCAACCATATGTTCAGCTACCTCATTAAATTTTGACTTTCTGATCCTTAACCTTGGTCGCTTCCTTGAATTGAAACCTGAAAGGGTGTGATGCCGGTCTCCATTTTCCATTAATCGCCTTAACAGTGATATTTAACATTGCATACAGACCACCTTCCAACTGGCCTTCAAATAGTTGGATTTCTGCATGGGATATCGATGCTTGAATGCGAACACCCTATTAAAATATTCCAAAATCATTACAATAATTATTTCTGTGATAAAAGATGTGTATGATAAGAGATGCATAAAAAATACTCCGTAATTGGCTTCTACCCAACTTCATAAATATATATGCTACAGATTTTCTTATCAAGTGACCAATTTAAATCATTGGAAGCCAATCATTTTTTTGGGAGTACTACCTCCGTCCCCCTAAGTTTGGGACAAGAGAAGGTGGCACGGTTATTAATAAAAGTGGGTTTATGTGGTTGATATTGAATTGATAAAGTAAGAATAAAGTAGGAATGATTTAGAACCACACAAACTTTACCAAATAAGGTATGAGACAATCTTAGTGGGACAGACCGAAATGGTAAAATGGGACAATCATAGCGGTACTGAGGGAGTAGTATTTATTAAGAGAAAGAACTCCACTTTTTGAGTAAAAGACACTGTATATGCACTAAAATGAAATGTACGGCCCTTCGGCCCTCCTTCGATAACTATTACTGTCTGCCCGCCACTTGCAAAATTTGCCGCAATAGCCCCTCGCCCACTCTAATCCGTTTCGTTGCCACTGACTGAGATACCAGCTAAAGGGTAGAGCTTACTAATTCTTCAAAAGTGAGTGGAGGAAGTATGGAAACAATTCAAGAGGAATCAGGACTTCTTCCTTCAGCAATTAATGATGTTCTTATCAATGAGTATGATTTAGGCAAACACAACACCAAATTTGTTGACAATTGCATTAAGCTAGTAAAGAATAAGATAAGTGTAAATAGAATAATATCTTTGATAATCTATTTAGAAACTAATCATCATCTTTCAGATTGTCATTATAAAATTAATCAACATTTTTTGGAGCTTAATTGTACAACTAATCAGCAACTTTCGAAACCCTTTCTCTATCTTATTGAAGAACGTTTTCTCTTATTTCCTATATGCAGCCTTTTTATTATTCATATGAATTTTCAGTTTGAATAATCATATTGCAGTGATCTTTAAAGTACTACCTCTTCATCCACTAAAAGTTCCAGCAATACGCTTATAAAGTATTTAATCCAAGCTGTCATGGAAAGAGTAGTGAAACAAATTTATGTCTCTATTTCCTACTTAGGAGACGGGGATTCCAGCACTCACTAAAAAGGCTTTTCAGTCTTCATAGATATTCTCTAATCATTTTGTTGTGTTAGCATTAGTAAACGTTCAACAGAAATATAAAGCAACCAATTAAAAATCAAATCAATTGGCCAATAGAAATAATGAAAATATAAGTTCATAACTTATTGCAATTTGCAAAGCTAGTCAAATTAAAATAATGGAGAAATCCAAAAACTAAAACTAAGAACTAAAATATGACAGAATGATAAGTTATAGTTGCGACAGAATGATAAGTTAATTTAGGACAGAATGATATGTGTACCGATGAAAAACAGAGCTCGTATAGCAATGACAGAATGATATGTAAAACAAAAATATAATGCTGCCAATTAAAAATCAAATCATTTGGCCAAGAGAAACAATGAAAATATGAACCACTTCGATGGATATAATTGGACTGAAGATTGAGTAAATTCAAATGATTATTATTGACAAAATATGCTAATCCAACACTTAAGAGAAAATCAATGATTTAGGATGGAGATGGGGAAAAAGTTGATAGTGTTTGGTAAAAAAAAATAAAAAATAGGATGGACATGGGGAGAAAACAGAGATCCTAGCAAATTATTAGAATGTTTATGACTTTTGCTACTCCATCATTAGGATTTCTATCATTTTATTCATTTCTATGCATTTTAAAACAAATTTAAGACTATTATATTTCTATAATCTCATACACCTGTGCTATTAAATTTAATTATTCCAAGACCGAGTAGTCAACGAGTAATCCCGAGTAATCGGTCCTACTCACTACTCGGCTCTTGACCGAGTTACTACCGAGTAGTGAGTTAACTACATAGATATGAACACTATAGTCCGTTCTTTTGCATATGCTCTTTATTGAATGAAGTATTTTAGAGGTTCATGGCGGAGTTCCAAAAGAAGAGTCTAGTGGCCTAATAAGGGAGTGTTTGCGATTGCTTCAACTTTAAAAAAGTGATTAATAGTAAAAGTTGGTAGTGTTTGAGAAAAAAGTGATTCGGAAAAAGTAAAAGTTGGTAGTGTTTGGTAAAATAAGTACTTTTTGTGTAATAGAAAAAGTGAGAAGCAGTTTAAAGTACCCTTCTACTTGCTTCCAGCTTTTAGCTTTTAAGTGATTAATTTAAGCAGAAGCTATCATTTGAAAACACTCTTTTCAACTTTTTTTAAGCCAAAAGTTGAAAAGCGCCTTTTTTAATCAATCCCAAACACTCCTTAAGTGGTCAAGAGATGATGTTTTGTGTAAACAAAAGGCTTCTGTATCAGTCATGTCTGTTGCTCAATCATCAAACTGAATAAAAATGTCTTATGGTTAAGAGTAAGGATAATTGTGAATGTGGTGTTGTGTAAACTGAAAGTAAAGAACACGATGATTTATTCCAGTTTGAAGGTGGCACAACAGTTTGGAAACCTCGAGGACAAAACTATTAATCTCATTGTCCCAAGTCAAAATTCCAAATCATCCGAGATCCCTTCCAGTCGTTTTTGTATAACTATTACTCCGTATAAAAATGGTTGAGAACAATATAAAAATGGTCTCGCAAGGCTTAGAAAGATTATTCCCCAAAATATTTGGGCAAAAGCGTGGAAGTTGGGTAATAAGGGAACTTGTTGATGTCTTCTGTCGGCTGTCGCTGTTTGTGAGGAACTTGCGTTTCATCGACTTGAAGCATCCACTAAAAAGAAAAGAAGAAAAGAAAATTTCACTTTTGTACCTCAATTTGTCACCATACATACATACATACGTGCATACGTACATATGCACATACACACACCGCGTTGCACTATTGTATGTTTCTGTTGCACTTTTTCGCGGTGGCAAAAAACTTCGGTTTATTTATGAAATTGTCACCACGTTTTTCATCAATTTTAGTTCATTGTTGGCTCATTTTGAGCCATTAAATCTAGAAATGAATGCACAAGATTTATTCTCACTTTACATGAGAAGATCTCTTTGTATTTGAATCCTCCCCTATATATAATATGATACATAAAATATACTTCCTCCGTATTTAAAAATTTGCTACGCTTTTCTATTTCAGATGTATTTAAATTTTCTACAATTTTCCTTTTTGGTAAGTTTTTTCTTTTAAAAACACACAATTACCCTTAATTTTTCGACTTTTTATCTTCCTAAGTTCAAAATTGCAAACTTCAACACTAATTTAAAAAAATGTAAACTTCCTAAAAAAACACAAATCAGTCAAAATGTAAACTTCAACACTAATTTCAAACATTAACAAAAAGGCAACAAAAACGCAGAAAAGTGATTCAATTTGTCCCGAGTTTAACAAGAAACGCTATAAAAAGTGAGTTAAAATATATGAAAGGTAAATATTGAGAAAGGTAAAATTGTAAATCGAATCATCAGCATTTAGTCAATCAGTTTTGTTATGCATCGTTTTGATTATTTTCAACTAATTTTGATCGGCTGGCATGTTTTGATCAAATTAAGACGGTTTTGTTCAGTTCGATAAGATTTTAAGTTTAATCCTCAATAGGGGCGGATCCAGGAATCTTAGATGCTCTGGGCTGAATAGAAATTATACTAGACTAAAATATTAAAGGGGTGAGCTAAATGCGAAAAATGAAAAAATTTACACTAAAAAAATTGAAAAAATTCTAAGTTGTCGTGGGCTTGAGCCTACCATAGCTTGTACCTAGATCATCCCCTGATCCTCAAGCCCCAAACCGAACCACATTTATGACATGGACAAAATGGGCTATGTAAACTGGCTTGTACAGTGTACAAAAATATTTTTCTACTACATATACCCCTAAGAAGATGGGTCTAATGCACCAAACCCTCTTGTGGTATAGAAATTCAGCGCATTAGCCCCTTGTGATTTGAAAAATGCGTCAAACCCCTTTGTATTTTAATTAATCATGCACAAAACCCCTTTTGTGAATAAATTTAATGATCTGGAAACCACTTTTCCTAATATTATGATTGAATATGCAAGTAAATATGTCATAATCTCTAAATTATACATAAATGTTAATTATTTTTCTTTTATTTGACAATTGGATTTGTTCATAGAAGGGATTTTGCGCATAATTAATTAAAACACAAGGGGTTTGACACATTTTTTAAATCACAGGGGGCTAATGCGCCGAATTTTCATATCACAGCGGGATTTGGTGCATTAAACCCCTAAGAAGATAAGATCTAAAGCATCGTTGTTTAACTAGGCACACTGATCGAGGAGGGGGAAACGGGTATGCAACAACCTTCTACCGAGTTCATTTATCCCACCATTACAACTAAGTAGTTCCATTGACTTGAAGACATTTATTTTAGATTTGTTAGCAGATGACATTTATGAGCTTTATTAGTGTTATTTAAAATAGGTATTTTTAAAATTATTACTGAAATAAAAAGTAATTTTTTTTTCAATTAAAGCTGATTCACATTAAAAAATAAAAGTAATTATTCATAAAAAGTACCCAAATAAAAAATATTAAAAGTAAAAATTATTACTAAAATATAAAGTAAAACTTTTATTAATTTTTTTTGATAATATAAAAGTTTTGTTTAAGTAATACGTTTACTTCAAAAGTTTTATAAAACTTATTACTTAAAAAAATCTTATAAACTTTTAAGTACTCATATTAGCAAAAATAAACAATAAAACTTCAAAAGTTTTGGGTACTCATATTAACAATAAAGCTCATAAAATTTTATTTCATAAAAAGTAATAATTTATAAAACTTTTAGGGAAAACTATCAAATAAGCCCTCGTACTATGTCAAAAAAGTCGATTAGGCCCTCGTACTTTAGAAACACTCAATTAAGTCCTCAAACTATTAAAAAAAAGTTCAATTAAGTCCTTTTGGTCGGTAAGTAACCGGTTTCCCGGTTAAACGGCGACGACGGCTACAGTGTGCTTGAACCCTAGCAACGGCGGCTGCCGGGAAACGGGTTACATTTAACTGGGAAACCGGTTACTTACCGACCGAAAGGGCTTAATTGAACGTTTTTTA